GACTCAAATTGTTATTTGTCAGTGATGGTGATGTTTATGAGGGAGAGTGGGTTAACGACAAACACCAAGGACATGGCGTCATSAAATACAAAGATGGAACTATTTATGCCGTAAGTTTTTGGACGTTTTTGTACACGATAGAAAAATACCATGTGTCACATTATATGCAATATACTCAGTCCTTAATATCTTTGATGCCTTTTAATGATACATGTCAGTGTAGCTGCTATCCAACTTGAGCTCCACATGCAACCTTACTCCAWTGGGATTCCTGTGTGTAAATATCTAACTGAGTGGGGAGGGAGTAAGTAGTGATGACGAAGCACTATAAGGTTACCCCTTTTCTCTCATTATCAAATCTTCTTTTAAGTCTCCTCCACTGTTGATGTATTAGCTCTTCTTACTACTCTTGGGCTTCCTGTCTTCATCATATGACCGAGGAAGACTGTGGCCTACTGTGAGATTAGAGGAATCCCCAAAGGGCCGATATAGTGTTAACTCTGGAGGACTATACTGCTGTAGTAGTCCACATATATAATAATAATAATATCTGAATAACTATTTATAGCATAGATGTTATTGCGATTTTCTTTAAGGCCTATTTACACTTGCGTCTTTTGAAGCGCGATTGTCACGCGGTAATTGCCACTTTGTTTTCGCGCACCTAAAATCGTACGTGTAAACAGCCCTGCGATTGCCGCGGCGATTTTCGAGTTGCCGCTAAATTTCAAGCACGTTCGAAAGTCAGGTGATTGTCGCGCGATATTCGCGCTTCAAAAATCGCAAGTGTAAACGGGTTTTACAAATGAATTCTTTTTGTATTCAGGGACAATGGTGGGGAGGAGAGATCCACGGAGAAGGTTCCATGATACACTCATCTGGTTTGTCTTATGAAGGATTATGGGTCAGTGGACGACCAGAAGGTTAGTGACAACAGGGGTAGTGAGGGGGCCATCATGTACCACTTAACTTTATGTACATGCAAGAGTGTTAAGTAGTTAAAACTGTATACGTGTATATACAAACCAATATGGAGTTTAGAATACAACAATAAGTGTCATTATAAACCGGGGAGACCTACGTAGCACGCAGTTGATGTAATGTATTCATAAAATGTATTGTATTCCATTGTTTCTCGTTCTATTGTATTATGTGTTTTGTATTATATCTTTATGAATATATTGCATCAACTGAGTGCTACGTAGGCTCTCGCATTATAAACCACAATTTGAATTCGTCCGATTCCCTGTTGAGGTAGCTGCGCGAAAAAATGATGTATACCTATTTCAAAAAAGGTTGTCGGATAAAATGGCGAATGTCAATTGTCGAACGGCGATTGCACGACCGAAAGTGCTATGGGTTTTGCTTATTGATAAGAAATAACAACTGATTTGTGCTGTAAGATGGTCTGTGGTGAACATTGGCTCCATTTAGCCTCCATTTCTATGCAAGTTGAATCCAACAAATGAAATATTTTTCGTCAAAAAGGCGTAACAATAGTCCTTTTCGGTCGTGCAATCTCCCTTCGACAATCGCCGTACACCTTTCTCACCGACAACGTTTTAGGTGTATGTGCTGGCTTACTCCGGGCMAGAAAGTTACCATAAATCGCCTTAAGTCGCCATGGGACCCCACCTAATTATAATCCAAATTTCCTTAAGGTTCCTTAAGCTGCCACAGTGCTACGCCCAATTTACCCTCATTTTTTCTTAAGTCGCCTTAAGTTGCAGCGATTTAGGGCGACTTTCTGGCCCGGATTTGGCCTCTTAAACAAAGGTTGTGTTGACATTTTAGTCGCATATAGTCTAATGCAAAGCATTAAGTGCCACAAACACCGTCATTATGAACCACCATCTTGAGCCATACTCAAAAATAGCTGATGATACTTTGCACATGCCGTCAAAGTCACAATCCTTGTGTTCAAAACAAGACTTGAAGGTCTTYAAGCTGCATGTAGTTTGACCTTGTCGTACACAACACGGCAAACTCATCAATTTCTCATTCATCAAAACTTGAACTTTGTACTCATTGCCGCTGCATTTGTTCAACACAAAGGCAATATTCGCTGCCATGGGGATCATTTTGTACATGTAGAAAACGCGATTTCCATTTTGACGATATTGACTGCTATAGAGCGTCACGGGYTCTTTGTACAACTCAAGTAAGGTCATCAACGCCAGTACTGTGCCACTGTGTCCGAATCTGAACACTCCAAACGGCATGCTTTTGTTGGCATAATTCAAAATACTTTTGGTAATGTCAGCCAATARGGGACAACTGGTCTTGTAGCTGAAAGGGTTGCCATAGGAATGGGAGTAAAAGTTCTCAAGGTCTATCCAGTAATTGAGAACGTTAATGTCTTCATTGGTGAACAGTGWGCACCATTCGCGGCTTTCTTTGTTCAGGGTTGAGAATGCGCAAATCATGAATAACTCTAACACGTCTTCAGCTGATAGACTCACTTTATCTATGATGGGAAAAAGGGAGATGGGTACTGTTG